GTGGTTAGGGGATCGGGCAGAGGAAGGACATTTAGGACATGCAGAGACTGGAGAGACTGGGAACAGAATTACTGCTGTGGGACCATATGCAAGTGTTAGTTTTATAGCTTTGTTAATTTTATAGCTTCCAAAGTGATGTGTTTGCTTGCAATAATTTTGTACTGCTGTTTTTACTTTTCAGATGTCCTGTGTCCAAATGTCCACGTGGAAGGAGATCGATTCAAACACACCAATGGGGGGACTGATGAGATTCCAGGTAAAGAGACACCCTTTTCTGCTATACATCTCAGAACTGAAATAGTGTAACCGTACATTTCTAGTACGATGTTCTGACTCATTACACCCTTCCCAGTTGGCATTTTCTTGATCCGGCACATTTTCAGTAGTGGAGGAGTATATTAGAAATTTTGGGGCTGGAAAAGAGTTATCTGCTGTCAGTTGTCAGCAAATTAACGGTGAGCTTTCTTTTGATATAACAGCAAATGAAAAAGCCAATGGAGCTTAGTGTAGTAGATACAGTAAGTCTTGGAGATGACGGGTTTTTTTAAACAATCCATGTTTGTTGAGTTTTAATGTGTATTTATTGGATCTGTGATTGTTATGGGATGACCAAACAGAACGGTAGTTACCACTGAAGAAATGCTCATGTATGTGCACAGAAGGGGGAAAAAAAAATGAGAGAAAATAAAAAGTCCCAAGAAGAACCATCTTTTCTGAAACGCTGATGAAAGATTGAGAGGGAAGAAAATCTGGTGATAAATCTACATTTCTGTGAGTTCTGATATATCTTTCCAGCCAGCTGAAGGACAAAACCTGTCAGATATATGTGTGGGCTGCGTCTCTTCTCTAGCCCCCCAAGACTGTTTGAGCTGTTGGCAGAGAAAACCTACTCATCAAGGACCTACTGGGAGTATCTGTGACTGACCCAAGAACATAAATCACTGCACTAGGTGGCCAGAGGCTCTTCTGCAACTTGATTAGGAGTAAAAGTGGTCAAGGTTTGACAGCTCTGCTACTCGCCCAGATTTTTTCATTGAGGGATTTTCACTCCCCGCACAAAATATCGGTTCCAACTGTGCTGCCTGTAGGCAGCTTATTTTGGCTGCAGTCTGTGATAATGCTGGGTGGTAGCATCTTTTCTGGTTTTTAGACCCAACTCATAATCCCCAAAGAACCATTTTCAACTGCTGCCTGTTGCTGGGTCTCGCATTAACCTGTTCTGGCAATCCTCCTGCCACTGGGCTGTGCAAACAGTAGAGCTTTTCAGCAAGAAGCACAAGTGATTCTGAATTAACCTATTTGCAGCGGAAGCTGCTGCTCAAAACAAGTAGGAGGATTGTGTCCCTCCTCAGATGATCATCTTCTGTGCAATCCTTCCCAGAAGAATGAAGTTGCAAGTGGGTGCCAATGTCTACTTCACATTTATATGGATTTTAATTCAAGTGCTAATTAGTGGACTCTGTGGTTTTTTTGCCCAGAGGAGCTATAGATGCCTTTTCCCTGGAAGTGTTGAAGGCCAGGCTGGATGGAGCTTTGATCAGCATGATGTTGTGCGAGATGCCCCTGCCCATGGCAGGAGGGTTGGAACGAGATGGTCTTGCAGGTCCCTTCCAACCCAAACCATTCTAATATTCTATGATTTTATGATCTTTGCCCAACAGGCTTCTAACATGGAACTCCATAGCTACACCTTGCACAAGCTCGTTTCTGAACTGATGCAAAGTGCAGCCCCGTAGAGTGAAAGTTGCAGTAAATCTCATTTTGGAGACAGGGAAGACTTTATTAAAAGGCTTCTCATATTAAACACTTCTTAGCTCTCTCAGATAGGGACAAGACACCAGAACTGAAGTTAAGAGGGAGAAAAATCTTTCTAGGGATTTATTTCTTTTTCATGTATTTTTATTGAGTGAAGTGCACCAGGAGATGGCACAGGCCATTGTTTCACCCACAACATCACCGATGCTGGCTCATTCTTGTGTGCCCTACCTGCATACAAGTTACAGCATCTCCTGCTACCTCTGAGTCTGTGCCTGCAGTTAAGAGAATGTGAATTGAGTCACTCTGGATCAGTAGAAGTAGAAGATAAATGATAAAATGAGCTATAAAAGGACATACTTTGGGAGGTGAAGGGAACCAGTGGTGTGACTGGGAGGTGGCAGATGTGTAGGATTTTGTTAAGTCAGGTGCTGAGAGAAGGGGTGAGGGTCGGGAGGACAGCTCAGTGCATGATGAAATTAATAAATGCATTGAAAAACACATTCTGAGCTGGAGGAGAGCCAACAAACTTAAATGCTATTTCCTTTTAAAAAACAGATGATTTTTTTTTTTCCTCTGGACAAACAGAGCTAAGTAAATCTCATCTGTGTGGACTTGAGCTACCATTTGTACTGTGTTGAAAGTCACTGCTGAAGTGAAAAAGAGTAGAGATTAATGAATGTTGTAAAGTAAGCCAGAAAGTGGCTTGCAGGGAGATAATGATAAAGTTTCTAGGAAAGGGAATAACAGAGGGTGGTGAACGTCTTCAGGGTCAAGTTTTAGGTCTAAACTTCTCTATGAGTTTCCACTGTGTAGACTGAGATTGGAATATCCCTGGAGGAGGAACTGTTTGGCCTCAGAAAACTGGGATTTCTTCCAACTGACTTGGGACTATTAGTTTAGAAGGCCTGTTGTGGTACGTGTGGATCAATACCGGGACTTGGTGCTATAAAGCCATACTCTGGAAACTGATGGTGTCTTAGTCAGCAGATGTTTTTAAGTTATAGTGCTCTGTGGCTGGGGAAAATGCAAAAGTCTTTAATGGACAAGGTCAAGTAGGTCTTGTAGAGAAGAAGCTGCTTATCTAGAAAAAGTGTGCTCAGACTTCCTTAGCTCGGGAAAGATGGATTCAGCCTCGAGGAGCTATTAGTGTGTTCAGGAGCCAGAAAGAGTATTTTGAAACAGGAGATTAAAAAAATGAATTTGTTTAATCTTGCCGTGTGCAGGTGGAGGAGTGTAGATAGTATCACTTTCTGCAAATACATCAGGGGACTGGTGGGAGGGAGGGAGGGCAATCACTCAAGCTAAAGGGCAAGGAGTGTAATAAGAAATGGGTATCAACTGTTTAAGAGGTATATTCAAGGTATTACAAGAAGGCATCAAACTGCCAGAGATATGAAGTACTGGAACAAGCAGTGTAGTAGTAGTAGTAATAGAGACAAATAAAGAGCGATGGCTACCTAGGAGCCCTGTCGTAGCAGAGGATTGTACTCCATAGCCCTGCGGTAAGAAATCACTGTCTGCGGCATTCGATAAGAGCTGCCACAGTGAAATAGGACTGCAGGAGGTAAGAACGTATAGGCAGCTTTACTACTGATACAAATTTTGGCATTGAATTGAATTGGCATCTGCTGAACAGTTCGTAACAGAAAGAAGAAAGCAAGAAATCTGGTTAGAGTACCAGGATAAACACTCTCTACCAGAAAGTCTGATATTTTAAAGCAACACTTCATGATACTTTAAACAAAGTTCTTACAGCATCCTAGAGGGTACCCTTGTTTTTTTTTTTTAATCAAGAAATTAAGAAAAAAGAGGATATAACTCATCTACCCTGAACTATTCAAAATAATATCTTGTCTGTAATACTTAATAGCTCTTATATTGCTGAATTGTCATTTTGGTTCTACCAGCATTTAACAAAAGCTTATGGCCTCCTATTAATAATGACCATGCAGGAAAACACAATGGTAACATTTTGCACCCTAAAGATGTGCCCCTCATGTATTTTTATGTACAATTGGACTACATCGAAATAGCTCATGGAAGTTATTGAAAATAAATTAAACTTCTTGCGGTTTTAAAACTAGACATTCGAATTATTTGTATTTTAATTTAGATCTGCAGGGCGTGGAATTTGATTGCAGAAATCTGAGACTTAAAAACAGGCTGAGCTCTAGTCTTCACCAGTATTCGCCAGAGGAGATAATACTCCTCAACAGATATTTAAAGGTCTTTTCCGGCCCAAACAATTCTGTGTTTCTATATTGGCTGCTGTTTCCAGGGGGAATCTGCCACAGGAGTAAAGACAGACCTGCAACGGTTTCCATAAAGTGCTAAGAGGAATTAACCCTGGGGAGGGACACTTCCGACCACTGCGCCACATTATACATCGCACAGAGTGGTGTTAACGAGGCAAAGAGGGAACAGAAAAGTCCTGCCTGTAACTCCTAAGTAGTAACACAGGCTGTATTTGTGAAGAACAGCAGAAAAGGCATTACGGGTTGTACCACAGATTGACCCCAGCCTCGCTCTCCCCCGTCTCAGAACCCTCCATGTGCAAATGGCAAAATGCCAGCGTGTTTATGGCCCCCGTGTTTTTCTGTAGTTCTGGAGAAGATGTTTGGGCATTTTGCGATGGAGGCACTGGTTGTAAAACTAGTACCCTACAATTACAGACTGTCCTTAACTGTCAGCATGTCTCCAGTATCTTGGGTTTGCGGCACAGGGTTTGCATTCCAGAGATGCCGGTGACTCACTAGCTAATTACAACATCCCTGGGACTATTTATATTTGCCCACTAAAACACGTGGTAGCAGGAGGAAATTGGAGTGTCCAGGCTGTTGAACCTGCAAAATGAGCACATTAGATTGATGTCCTGGGCACAGAAGTACTGTTGCGGTGCCTGTGCAACGGGCATTTTGGCCGCCCTTTGCACTCAGCAGTCCCTGTTGTCCCTCTCGTAGCCTGCTGGGGAAGACCTCAAGAGGCAAGTGGCAGATCCATGAATGTCTGCAGAGATTTGTAGTGAATCTCTGCCTTCAGAGGGTAGATGCATGGACTCGGTGGTCATGTGTGGTACTGGCTGCTTGTGCAGACACCAGCAACTCCTCTCCATCCTCAGTGTTACACCTGCACAGGTGGGGCTGGATGCAGCTCTGATGTTTATGGGAGATGAGACAGAAGGATGAAGCTTTGCTGTGCCGTGACACAGTCACTTTGCTGTCACGTTTTGCAGTGACCCATCACTCAGCAATAGGTAGTGGGCTTGCAGGAAAGCTGGGGAGGGACTGTTGGCAAGGGCGTGTAGCGACAGGACGAGGGGCAATGGTTTTAGAGTATAGCAGGGTAGATTTATATTAGACATTAGGAAGAAGTTCTTTACTGTAAGGATGGTGGAATATTGGAACAGAGGTGCTGGAAAGGTGGTGGAGGCCTCATCCCTGGAGACATTCAAGGTCAGACTTGATGGGGCTCTGAGCAACCTGATCTAGTGAGAGATGT